TAAATTCTTTAGAGCAGTTAAATTCTTTGGCTATGAAAGCATAACAGTTTTTAATAGGTGTATCACCTGGTAACCTTGAGCATTATTAAATATATGGAGACTGAAAGACATGTAGAAGCAATGGAAAAGTCTGGCCAGACCGGGTAATTTGTTTTAGACCTATGGAGAAATCTATTAACCATTTCTTCTATAGACCAATTTGATTAGGAATTAGGACAAGCTGTTCTTTCATTACTTACCAAAACCATACTGCACTTTGTATCAATTATTTGGCTGTCTGCAGCACATAGATTAGAATAAAGGCCTTTCTTAGTGTTTGCAAATGTTGTGGATTGCTGATTAGTAATTAAAGTACTGAATGAAGAAAATTAGGCCCAAACTGAATGGGAATGAGAAAGTCTTAATTCTGTGATACAGATGTTAGACACAGATTGTCTTGAGCAGCCCATTCAACATAGCGACATTGTACATAACCACGGAGTGTTTGCCTCCCCTGGAAAACTCAGGCCGAATGCCTTGGAGATGGTTTCCGCTCCCATGCCTTGTGATGTAGCTGTATGGGTATTAATTTAGTGAAATATCCTGTCTGCCAGGTGTGGGAACTAGCTGATTTTATTGTAATACCAGATCATTACTTAATTCATATGCAACAGAGTGCAGCACATGGAAAGCATTATAAATCTATTTACAATGTGGCTGGTCTGATGATAACATTGTATTAAATTCCCAGGTGAGGCAATTTAAGCAATTGCTTTGCCATGTGCACTCCTTGGAAATTAAATTCTCATATACGCTTTGGTAATAACCCAACTTCATTGTTATGCTTATGCTAGTGGTGGGCCATAGAATCCTCCTTCTGGTTATGTATACCCTGTTTCACATGTAGACTCACACAGGAGACGGTGTCCCAGATCACAGTTCTTAATTAGTGTAAGCTAAGTTAATTTTCATTTTGTTTCTAGTTTAGCAGTGCCTGTCTAGAATATATTCAGTTCAGTTGGGAAATGTTAAGGCTTGGGTCAAGTAGATAGATTGTTATAAGCCAAATTGCCAGACAGAACTGAGCGAGGCTATCTGTTTGAACTTGGCTTAAAGGAAATTACCCACTCAGTATGCAAAAGTTCTGTTCATATACCAAGTGAAAACTGCTTGGAATCTGAAATTCTCACTTTCATAGCCAACGACTCACTTTTGTCATCAGTTTAAAATACCCATGAAACTTAGTGCATCTAACTTCTTAAGGATAACAATCAGTTGTTAACTTGTCATATTTTTTTTTTGTAGTTCATCTATGGTGTGTAGATTTTTCCTTCCAATTGTGTCTAGTTCACCAAAGTGTATAAGTTACACAAACACAACTAAAAATGAGGAATGCTCTTGTATTTAACATTGTGTGTGTGTGTGTGTGTGTGTGTGTGTGTGTGTGGCAAATATTGTCAGCTGCAGCTTTTCCACCCTTATGGTACAGACCCCAAAATTGCAATAGATTACAAACTGCACAGAGCTTCTGTCTTCTCCAGAAGCCACACATAAAGCACCAGTAGTCAGTAGTAACTGACAACTAAGACTAAAAATGTTGACAATTTCTTGATTTGCCTGGTTAGCTTATGTATAGAAGTCATTAACTATTTATAAAATGCATTATGAATTGGGTTCCTTCAAACTGTAGCTGAGTGTGTGACATTTCCAGCTCAAATTCTCATGCTTGCATTTGGCTAAAGTACAGATTTTATACAGTTGATAATAAAGTAGAGTTATTTCAGTTAGTTTATCAAGCTACAGGAGATGTTTCAGTTTCATTAACTTTGAATCTTTCAAATTAAAGTATAACATAGTAGTTAGTAAGGTAGAGTGCGGTTTTTAAAAGTTCCATAAAAGTGAAATAATGTATTGATTTTTTTGAGGAAAAATATCCATAAAATAAGCAGTTTGTCACCCAGAGGACTTTACCTTTTTTTTTCTTTTGGTATTCATTTAGTTTAATGATGATCCTGCAGACTAAATTATGGCTGATTACAATCAGCTCACTTAAAATTTTAAACCATGAAAAATTAGGAGAAAATACCAGTGCCTGGCATTTAAATATTTTTTTTATCTTTATTGTTGAACGTATTACAGATGTCTTTCCCTCTTCCCCCCATGGCCTCTCTCCCCTGGTTCCTGCCCCCATAATTCTTAATCAAACCAGTCCTTGATTTTTTTTTATAAAAAAAGTATAAAATGATACTCAAGTGTAAAGTGTTCCGTTTCCAGCACTGGTTGTATCATTTTCATGAGGAACTATTTCTGACATTTGAAATGTGTTACCTTTTCATTCTCTAGTGAAAGCCAGTCCTGTCAGGGAACATTTTGTAAACTCAGCGTACCATCTGCTTAATTATATCCCAAAAGCCATCCAAATGACCAGTGTCTACCATCCCAGTGGTGAAGAATGGCATCCATAGGGGGACCACCCTTCAACTGTGGATAAATCCTTCTCCCCTTGGTGCTGAGCATGTACACTCTTAATGGCTGCTTTTCAAAAGCAATGGATTCTAACCAAAACAAGATGAGATATTTAGGGATACATGCTTGTAATGTTCCACGTTTGAAGTATAGTAAATCAAAATAAGAATATAATGTAATTGAACAATCTATGCCAATTTGTTGGTATTTGGGTGAGAAAGGGGAAAAACAAAAACAATCTCCATGTGAAATTCTTGCATACTGGGGAACGTTTTAGTCCCCCATAGTGATGAAATGAATAATTAAAGAGGCAGCTCTGATACCACAGCCTGTTTAAAGGTTCTCATTTCCTTTAATGCTGTAAAATACTTTGGCTTAGCTAGTTTGAAACGACCATAGTGGGGATCTCCATATGGGCAAAAGAAAGGTTCGGCTTGATCTAATTACCGTGGTAAGGCCATGAAGTACTAGGATACTGTCCTTGTAACTTACATTTTTCTGTACAATTCTCTATGAGGTTAATAGAAATAGCTAATTAATAGCAGCTTCTGTAAATACAGTATGGGAAGCAGGGTCCATGAATATGCTGTCTGTGGTGGTAAGACGTCTGGCATATTCACAAGTGAATGAGGGGGTCACTCCTGAATGTTGAGATGTCTGATATAGATGCCATTACTGACCTCGAGCTAATGACTTAACTTTTCTCCCTCGTCCTCTCTGCAGCATCATTGGTTGTAGTTCTCTATCTACAGACTGACTGCATTTGCCAGGGTATAAGTTAGACATTTGTAGCAGGGAAGGCAAGCTTGGGGTAGAGACTCAGGGCAGGGATGGGATGCCATCATCTACTTTGTATTGAAACATTTTGCATTTTCTTTGCATCTTTTACCTGAGTGTATCCAGAGGGCAATAAACTGGTGAGGAAATTTTGTGTGATAGAATGAGCACTGAGCTGTAAGTCAGGACCCCAGGGTTCTAGTTTCAGTTTAACCAAAGCTAACTTTAGAACACCATAAGACTGGCTCCACCGCCCCCCGCCCCTTCCCAGTAATAAAGGAGTATCTAGATGTATTTACTTTTATATTTATACTCCATTCAGCCCTTCATCTAGGTTCTGCCACAGAGTTAAGCCCTAATGCCCTAAGGCTTCTGTTCTATGTAATAAATTTAATTCTCTCTTACGTATCATTTTTGGGAGAAGTCAGAAAAATAGTCATTGAAATAATTTTCTGTGTTTTATGGTTCAGATAACAACCACAGTTGAGAAAGGCTGCAGCTTTAAAGTGATTTAAAGTCTACTGGTTTTTCTTGTCCAATATCCTTTTAAGCTCTACTGTGAGTTTATGTTTAAGATATTATGATCGCTATGTGGCAAAAGCAGGGTTACTCCCTGGTTTAGAAGTCTAATTAAAAATCTTGTGGACTTCTGCTCACGGACTATGGAGTGTCCTTTCAAACTGCAATAACTTTTTGGATCACAATTGGACAGGTGAGAAATTTTAAGTTCTCCACTGTAGACCCGAAGTGAGAAAAAGATTGCCATTTTCCAACTGCCGTTTTCCAATCAACTGTGTTTGCTCAGTTCAGAAGCAGAAAAGGCAGCCAAGTTGCCCATAAGTCTGCATCTAGACCTGAAGTAGCGATGCGCAGCAGCATCTGAGCACTGCACTCCAGCTTCCCAACTCATCTTCCGAGCCTTTAGCTTTTCCAAATGCGTGTAATTTAGAAGTTGCTTGCAGACATGTCCTTCTGACTTTACAGGTAAAGGCAGACTTCTTGTAAAACAGTATTTCTGTGTGTGAAACCTTGACTCATGGCCCATTTGTCTTTATTTACTGGGACTGGGAAAAGTTGACTCACAGCCTACTTGCTTTTATTTACAAGGATTGGGAAATTTTATTCGTTTTAACACACACACACACACACACACACACCCATACTTTTCCTTAGTTACTTATAGAGGACTTAGAGACATTTAAATTATTGTCCCAAAATGGGTTGGACTTTTAAATTTCATCTCTTTTTAGTTAGTAACATCACAATAATGAAGTAATAGAGGAACAATTTCCCAAGCATTCCAGTGTATGTATGCAGTTATAATATTATCCTAGAATTAGAGATTTTAAAAGACTTGTAATTGTAAAATCCATTTTCTGCCACACTATTAAAGAACCCCATATACTCTCATCGTTTTAATTGCAACCTGGTGCATTTTGCAGATATACAGCTATGTAGCTGTATTTCCTTCAGCATAGTGTTCTTATTTGAATGACTGTGTGTGGAATAACATACCAGTTCTGATCCATTTTGATTATTAATGGAGTATTTACACAGTGCAGTTTTCTTTCATTACTGGCATTTGAAAACCTTCTGATTTACATTAAACTTCTCAAGTTCAAGAACTTTACACAACTTTGGTTTGCAGGTTTTAGCAAATAGGTTTCCATTAGGGGGCTCTCGAGGTTTGAGATGATCAGCCTTGATACCAATAATGCTTGGAAGCCTTTACTTTCTAACGTTCCTCTCGCTCTCTCCCTTTTTGTTTTGTTTTACAGAAAAGGTCACGGATCGCCTACAGTGACGAAGTGCGCAATGAGCTCCTAGGGGATGACGGGAATTCCTCTGAGAGCCAGGTAGAATGCTAATCAGCAAGGCCCGGTGGGTGGCTGGAGGGTGAAGGAGGTCACGGGCACACTGGGCTCTCAAGCTGCTCCTTAACAGCATTAGCGGCAACTCATGTGGAAGTGATACTGTTTAATGCAAAGCTGGAGTCTTAATCAACTTCAAAATGTTTCTTGGAGATCTTACATTTAACCCTTTACCTTGGGATCACTGTCTGCTATCTTTTAAAAAAATCTTTTCTTCTCCCTTCTTTATTATTTAGTACTTAAGGAATAACTTGAAACACACTGTTTGCAGACAAAGCCAAGGTCTTCACCTCCAACACATGTAAAAGGAATAAAAAAGTACACAATGCAGCTTTGATAATAATGCAGTATAATTAAATCAACACTTGCAGCAAAACAAATGAAAGTAAGCTTTCAAAATTCAACAGGGCAGCCCAATCTCCCATTGTGTCGCTTCTTAAAAATACATTCAGTAAAATGCAAATTGTAAGTACCAGTGTGAAACTTGGCTGCGCATATAGAGGTAGTGGCCTCTGTGAAATAATAAAAGTAATAGTAATAATAATGGGAAAAGTCGTTTTGCAATTTAAGATCTGCACAAGCAAAAAGTAAGGTACAATTTCTTCTTAAAAGGGCCTGTAACTTGGCTGTCAATTCTCATAGGGTTACACAGTAGTGTCCTGAGTCCAATTAATGTCCCACTTCTTTCTCTGAATTAATACTGCAGATTTCATTACTTCATAGAGATAACGTATGACTTTCAAAAAGCGTTTCAAGAACCTCAGTGCTGAGATTGATTTTTTTTAAATGTCTCAAACAAACCTAGTGACTGATTGTCTTTGACACTTTTAAAGAAAATAAATGATAGGGAACTTCACAAGCAAGAACTGAGCATGTTTATTAACGTTACTTTGGCAAGTGTTATAAAGGTCTCTGCTCTGCCTAAATAAAAATGAACATACATCATTCATTGAGTAAACCAAAATTTTAATAAGATTGTAAAACATAAATAATATATTGATACACATTGTAAAATTGCATAATTGTATTTACCATTTCACATAAATTATAGCTCTACATGTGCTGAAACTATGTTACTATTTACTGTAATGTTAATACTATAAACAGGGGTGTTGCTTATGTAATTAAGGCCCCCATCCATCCACCCCAAAAAAACAAGGATCACTGAGCTGATGGTTTGTTTTTGGAAAGACCTCACCCCCTCCCCTATTTGGATGTCATCAGCTTGAGTTCAGACATGTAAACATTTTAATATTTGGGGATTTCAGCTTTCCTGATTGAAATGTAAGAATAACTAAGGGGGAAATTATACAGAGCACATCAAACAAAAAGGATGAGGTGATAAAGGGTTTTGCTCATAGTAGATTAAATAACGTAAGAATGAGAAAGAAATATTTTCTTCCTATTTTAAGTGAGATTTAGGTTGCTCATACCTCTTGATTGAGTGAATCATAATTTTATTTCCTATCTTTACTGCAGAGAAAGCATTATCTTTTTTTACAAAAAAAAGTGAATGCGTAGTTCTCATGTCAGTTCTTTAAAAAGCTATAGATCTTCCTCTCATTTGAAACTACTGCCTAATAGAGAGGAAATGGAAAGGAAGGGGTACCCTGTCTAACTCAGACTCCTTTATTGTAATGGATGTTGTAGTATATGACAGGGATCCCTCTCTTTTTTTTTAAAGGCATGTTCACTTCTCTTAATGGACATTTTATGTGCCTAAAACATTTGTCTTACGTGCATATGGGTATGATTTTTTATGCCTAAAGAAAAATATTCCACAAAAATAGATTGAGTTCATATTTTCTGAATTTTGCAAATTATATTCCTGTCACTTTAAAATGATTACACAGAGATTTTCCCATGGACTTGTATAAATCAAACTTACACATTCTGAAAGTGCTCGGAGAACCTGAAGTTTAGTCATAAGGACCTGTCACTTCCATAAATAGAGTATGATAAATGATAGTCATGGGTATGTAACGGTTAGATTATTACTTATGTGAACTTTTCCGTCTAAAATTTGAATTAGGCTTGAAAGTTCAAAGAGACCACACTTAACTTTTTGGATATTTAGTTACTAGGTATAGAAAAATTTCCATATCATACTGAAGAAATTAAATTTTGTTTTAGGTTCGTTTATCATAATATAGGAATTAAAATCCCTCCAACTAAAACATCCTCAACAGGAATGCTCACTTGAGAATAACTCTTTAACCTGCATCTGTATTCATTCAGACGATGGAATTAAAACAGAAGCCTTTTCCTTACAGGAAGAAAGGATTTTAACTTGGCTCTTCATGTTAGTGTTTGTAGCTGAGTGGCAGAGAAGGTTGTCTTTTCTGGGCTTATCTGTCACTTATATAAGAAAATATTTTCTGCCCACAAATAGGTTTATATTCCAGTTAATTTTTGAAACATTTCTTTTTTCAGAACTTACTGGCTTATCATAAACTTTCAATGTACAGAGAAAACTTGGAAGTAAACAAAATGAGACAAAAATAGCAATATTTGTTTCATTGAAATTGCCAGATATCTCAATTTTTTAATTATAGATGAGAAATAATAAAGAATTCATAGCAATGGTTAAAATAGCTAAAATAATCTAAGTACTGACTGTTTAGTTATTTTTTATGCAGTATACATATCATCCCTATTGTGACTTTTTGGTGGTGATTTACAAAAATGTGAATGCCATAGCTATTATTTCTCATTCTGGCCATTTATAATGGTTTTTTTTCCTTAGGCATTTAAAACCTGGCTGTTTATACACATAAATGTAGTCTTCCAATTAACTGTAGAATATATTAATTTCCATATATATATATATATCAACATTTCCACCATGATTGGAAATGCCCTGCATACAGTACACAATTTCATTTAATTCCAAATTAATTAATTTGTGTAAATTTATTTCTGATTCTATCCATTTCTTATATATCCAAATATAGTTCATCCCTGATTTACAAAGATGGGACAAAATTACCTACTTTGCACATTTGAGTACTATTGTTGGGTCATCAGCTTTCCAAGGATTGCTGTCTTAGGCGTTATCATTCTATTCTTTTAAAATGTCATGTTTCCCATACAGCCACATTTTAGAACTTGAGAGAATTGAGTTTTTTAAATACAACAATGTTGTATTTAGCGTGGAAACCTTAATAGTTATCTTGATTTAGTTTAATAAAAACCATTCTCAGAAAAGGAAAAAACATACACAGAGAAACAAAAACCATCTTATACAATTAAATCCTCTTCATAGTAAAGTGTCGTAATGGAGCATATAAATTGTTCCGAGCAAATAAAATGTTCCAAGCAATACTTTGAACCCTAATAGTCTCTCAGTTTCCTTATGCAAAATTATATCGATCAATGAATAAGCCTGAGTAAATGAAATGTGAGTAAATCCTAAATAGAAGGTTCAAAGAAAGATCTATAAAGAGTAGGATATTTGCAAACGTGCCAGAAGTTGGGTGGTAAAGCAATAGTTAGTAGATAGGATTGCTTAATTTTTTAATACGAGGTTCTCATAAGTTCCGATTTGAGCTTGCTGTGCATAAAGTGTGTCAAACTCCAGCCCCAGAGCAGGGGGTGAAGTCGGTCAATTTAATTCCCCGAGATCTAAAGGAGGTCGGTATCATTTCATATAGCCCTGGCAGAGCAGATCATTACCAGGCACAAATCTGTTCGTTACGTGCTGAGGGTTTATAGCCAAATAAATAGACTGTCATCATAAGTTCAGAAAATTGTGTGTTCGACCCACGATAATGTGTAAAGGGCGTTTAATAGAGTTCAGCATTTATTCGTTATCTGTATGCGGACAGAGACGCCAGTCGCGTTATCAGCTTTTTAAAAAAAATTGGGGAGTTGCGGGGTCACGTGGCGCGGCGCCCACTCGGAGGCGCGCATGGGCCGCACATGCTCCGCAGCGCTGGTTTGATTTCAGTCGCAGGCAGCAGCAGGCTTACCCACAAGAGATTCCACTGGTTCAAACCAGCGTAAACCAGATTTTGTTTTCAGCCCACAAAGGAACAGATTACCTCTTGTATCAAATTCTGCATTGAGGGAGGGAAAAAACACGTCTTTGTTTCAAAAAAAAAAAAAGATGTTGATTATCATAACGCAACATGGTGGCATGGTACACTTTCATGTGGCCTCTGATGGAGCTGGTAACTCGATAAAATAAGAAATCACTCCTTCCAGTCTAGTCTAAGCATTGTTAATTTTCAAATATAGCCCATCTTTTGTTTACTTGAATGAAAACTCTCAGCCCTTAAAAAAAAAAAAAAGATAGAGATTAAAACCCCTCCCCTTACCTAGCTTAGCTACAAATCCGGTGCAGAGCCTGCACGCAGCCATGCAGCACAAACAAGATAGAACGGGTTTTTGTTTGGAACCTATTGAAACAACAAATGGGGAGCATTTGAAACACTCATTGATTATGGCAGGGTGGCATGCCCCAAATGGTCTCCATTGCTGAGGAGTAGTTTTAAACTTTGGCCCTTTAAGTATCATAGTCAAGTGATGAATGGTGCCCCCAGAAAGAAAAGATAGCTGTGCGATCAATTCCCAGATCGTCTCTTCCTGAGAATTAATGTTTGCCTTTTTCTCCCATGATGTTCGGAGAGCAAAGAGAAAGATTCCGATATATGATAGGCCAGGTATTTGAGTTTCAAATGTTACCTCTTCCAGGCAAGAATAGTAACTTTCCACATAAAATGATGAGGGCCTTTACTCATACCCATTGGATGTTTGCTGAGAGAGTGAGCAGGCTTATTAATTAAAACTAATGGCAACTTCTTGTATATTTTGAAAAGATGACATCAAAAGTTTCATTTTCACTAAATGCACTGTGAGACATTATGTAATAAATTCTGTACCCGTTTTATAAGAGTTTAATAACAATTCTGAAAACTCATTCTTTTGTACTTGAAATACTTTTCATATAACAAATGAAATATCAGCATAGGCTGGAATGTATGCTGCCTTCTTTGAATTGGAGACAAAAACAGCATTAAGCGTTGAGAAATCCGGGCTATAGTAAACATGATACTTTTAGAGACACTTACAGTGAGCAATTCATAGCACGTTTCTCCCAAAGCAATAGTTTAATTTATTGGCCTGCATATGTCAAGTGTTACAACAGATGTTACAGGTATTTGGATGTTTAAAAATATCAGTTGTGGCCCAGAATTGCTGAGGATGCACATTTCAGACTTAGAATGTGGTTTATGGTCTCTTACAACACAGGTTTCAGTTTCTGTTCATTACAGAAGCAATGGCATTCATCTCAACCATACAATGACATTTGTGTTGTATAATACTGTTAAACATACACACCTACACACACAAAGAATGAGTCAGACATTGTATATCCATTTTCTAGTATCTAAAGATTTAAGCAACTTATTTTATTGTTATATTTAAGGCAAATAGAAAAATGTTCTACAAAGGAGAATTAAAATGTTACAGGACAATTTACTAACAAGTAGAGAGTGGTTTGGGGTCTGTCTTTAGTGAAAACAGATTGCAGTACAAATGAAGTCAGAGAGCTCATTGCTTTGAGATGGCCCAGTTTACAAAATGAAAAAGATTGAAAAATAAAGAAACATCAAAAAACATTTTGAAACGCCATGTGACTACAGTAGCCTCTGAAACAAAACAAACACCTAGAAATTAGCTCTAATCTACACACTATTTTTAAGGATAGTGAAATATTTTCTGATATCATATCCTAAATATTATCTATCCTAGCATGCTTTATTCTCAGTTAAAATAATGTCATCTCCTAATGCAATCTTTTTACTAGGATAGGTACAGGTATGATATTAACTAACATGATAGTTTGTTTTAAATTCTTATTGGGACAAAAGCATTAACTATTAATCATTTTCATTTGTGGAAAATCGGAAATCAGTTGTCAAGATTGAAAATCAAGAAACATCCTGAGAACTTGTATATACAAAACCTTTTCAGTGGTACATTCTTAGAAGAGAGGAACAGTAAACTTGTTTTCTTTCTTTATAATATAGACTTCTATGAAGTCGTTCCCCTTTATTTCATGATGGTGTCTTAGATGTACTTTAAAAGAGAATTTCACACTATTCTCTTTGTTGAATGTGACAGTGTGAGAAAGTGATCTTTATTCGTTCAAAAAACTCTGCATGTAGTCTATGTTTAGGTTCTTTTAATGTGTTTGTCTGTGATTTTTAAATGCTAAACATGTAAACAGATAAATTGTCAATGTTAATTCTGTATCCTGTCACACAACTGATCTTTCTTTCCTGCCATTTCTTTCCTTTTTATCTTATTTTTGTGCATTCATGTTGCAGTTGATAAAATTACGTGAAGAGGTGAGTACTTCTTAGCTTGCCTTTTTTTTTCTTAATTCTGCTTTTCCTTATAAAATTGAGTTTCTAAATCTGGAGTAAGATCTTTGGGCTCATTTTTCCAGGAAAATCTGCACATAGCAAAAGTATTGATTATATTGCTAGACATATTCTCTGCTGATTATCTTTCAAAAACAAATCTATCCAAATTATGCTTGTCTCAGTAATCATTGTGGTTTGTTAGCATGGGGGGGGGGGTGTTCATATTTTAAAAGCCCAAAATGGAGGAAAAACAAAGGAATATCTTAAAGCTATGTCAAGTATAGTTTTAATATAGACCAACTTCAGATTTGTTTTATTTGTATTGGTTTCATAAAGAAGTCAATATGATTCTTTTTTTTCTGATTTACTGTACTGAAAACTATTTTTAAATAAACTTCTTCGCTTCACCCAGAATTCAATCTAAGATGCCATGAATCTATTATCCTTTTGGGGAAACACACATATGTTATAAATGCACTACTAGTCTGTGTACACAGATACCTAAGAAGAGCCAAAGCTCTCGTCATTGTGAAACACATTCCTTTCTGCAGGAAATAGCACCCAAGTGAGCTCTCACTTTCCTGAGTTTGCTGGACTGTTTCGTAGTGCAGCCTAAGACTTTTGTGTGGCCCAGCACATATTTACAGCAATGCTTACAATTTTCTCCGCATATCAATGGGGATTGCTGAATGATTCTGTATTTCTTTTTCATTAGAAAACTCATCAACTATGCTTTGATACTCATTTCAGAGACAGAGTAGTTTTATTCTTTATTGAGTGAGGTTGAGTTGTTACTTTTTTATTAGAGCATAAAATAATGGCCCATATATCAATTTAAAAATTGTTCAGTTGCTTATGATCCTAAGAGTACTGTGAATTATTTCTGAGTTTAGATTGCATTGACTCAGATTTTCCTAGAAGTTTTTTATTTCTATGTCATCATTCTCAAGGTGATCCGAGTGCTAGTGTAGAGGCTTGTAGATAGTGGTTTTCAACAATTCTTATGATTGAAGGTACATGAGTGATGTCTTCT